CTCAAAAACCCAAGAAGTCTAGCGGTGGAAGAAGAAGCACAGCTAACGTCGACGAAACAGACTTACATTCCTTTTCAAACGTTCAAGCACATGCTATTTTGTGTTCGTTGATCATTCACCAGCATACAATTGCAAACACAACTGCTATTTTTACCATTTTTTACCCTCGCCCACCCCTCCCTCACCCATTGGTTGGGGGCTGGTAGGGCGCCAAAAGCCCCTCAGCCAAAGCACCTGCATCGGCGCCATCTTCTCCCGATCAAAAGGGCTGGTGCCAATGCCCACCAGTCCTGCCTTCGGTACCAGTTTCTTGATCTTCTGCACCGTCTCATCAAACCCCACGAAGCTCACCTGCACATGGGATAAGATCTCATAGCCTTCAAAGAAATGAACACATGGTTGGCGTGACGTGGTGTTGTGGTGTAACTGTGTAACATCTTGAGCAAAACGGTGGTTCAGCAAACGCCAGTTGCAAATCAGTAGGGCTCCTAGAGAATCAGTTTGCCACTTACATGCTTGGAGGCTTTGGTATTTTCCACAGGACCTGTTCAACCAGGTCGTTGAGGTCAACACAACCCCTGAGCACCTGCAAGACAACCCTCATCAGTGCTCATCCAACATTTCAAGCCCAAGAGTTTGATGCTTCCAACTCTGAGGTGGAAGACTAGCTCATCACAGAAAGCATCTGTTTTCCATGGACTTCTGCATCCCAAAACCAGAAAAACAGGGGGCGGAATGACATCATTGGGTTTGTTTGACCTCACCTGATGTCCATCATCCAGCAGTCCATGTGCGATGGGCAGCATGGGCGCATAGTGTGAGGCCGGTGGGGCGATAAAGGCCACATGCACGGCGGAGACAGCGCCCAGCAGTGCCCAGCAGCGCAGAACAGTGCCCAGCATGGCCGATACTCAGCGTGATGCAGGTGCGAGGGGCTACAAGTAGTAGTTGAGAACTCTTGGAAACACATGCGTTATATAAATCGTAGTCAGGTCGTAGTCCTGGAGTTTTTAGTTAAATGTTTGCTTAAAAAACAGAACGTTGAACAGGCTTGGGATCAAGAGGTGAAAATGGATGAACTGGCCATGCTCATGCCAAAATCCATGCCAAACCCACGGCACAAACGCTTCGAGCCTCCAGTGGATTGGACGTGTCGGTGCTACAGAAACGGCAAAATAACATCATGTCCCTTCATATCTCCGTTCTGTCCCTGCAGCAAGGAGATGACAGGCCAATCGAAGAGGAACAAAGAAAAAGCTCCCCGGCCTGGTTGATACCAGCGTCATGAGCTTCAAAAATCAGGAAAGGTTCCTTGCTCTTCACGCTGGGCCTTCGGCTGCAGGCGGAATTCTAGCCATTTAGCAAAGAATGGGCCAGTCAGTGGCCAAGAAAGGGTGAACCATTTACATAGCATTACTACAGTCTGACTCACTCAACATGGAAATGAACAACTAAACCTGCTGTTTGAGTCGAGTAGCTTCCTCTACCTGCCAGGTGGTGAGGTTTCACTCCACCCGCTTCGCGTCGCTTCCGTCGTCGCTGAGGCTCCCGAACGAGACATCCCAGCAAGACAAGGATCCCTTGCCATCTGCGCTCAGCAAAAATGGAGAGCCTGACCAGCACTGACCGTGGTGTGGTGAGGTGAAACTGCGGCACTGACCAGCAGGATGGGTGGTGGTGGGTCAAAAGCTTCTGAATAACACGACTTGCGGCTCCGTGTTAGACTTGGTTAACACTTCCCCGTACACCCCACCCCGCACACCGGAATGCTACGAAGCTGGCACGACGGGAAGCTGGCACGGTGGGGAAGGCACCGGTCCGGACGGATGGGGCGGGTGAACACCAGGTGGTTTTTGACCCAGAAGCAGCGTCCTCAAGCAGCTGAGGACCCCTAAGGAGTCACGCAGGAGGATGGCCGAGGACTCCAAAGAGTAGAAGCAGCTTGCCAAGTGGAATTGGAGCTCTGCGTGATAGAATGCAATGAATGAATCAACCGATGTCATGTCCTTTTCCCCGAAAAAAATCATTCCCGTTACGCAGCGGAGACAGCTGCCTTCGAGCTCTGCAAGCGCTGTGACCTCGAGCTTTCAAGCGTTCCGAAGTTCAATATTGGATCTCAGGATTCCATTGGGGATGTCCTGCTGGTAAAGCCTTCTTATAGTAGTGGGATCTGCAACACATGTTACATGTTCACATGTCTCAATGCTTCGTAAGGATGCCAGGTCCTGAGTTCCAGCAACCTTCTTTCTTGCATCATTTGGATGTCTAAGGATGTCTGCAGGTCTTCGTTGGCTATCATCCTCTTCCCTCACCCCGGCGGATGATAAATCGTGGTATTCATGTTTACCGGCTACTGTTGCTGGTTCACTGGGACACCCCGAAACAATCCCAAACAGACATGCTGGATGCCTATGATGCCTGTTTTTGTTATTGTTGGAGATCTTCGTCCGACTTGACTGACCACCCAAGAATGAACCCTCCACAAGCACCATCTTCTCATGACTCCGCTCGTCGGCGGAATCAAGCCAATGACCCCAAGAAAGCCGAACACACATGTAATCATTGGTTTGATCACCATTGAGGTCCGTCACCTGAGATTAAATGCCAAACCGTCCATGTATGGAGATATATATGCACCATATATTCACCTTGTTTACATACATTGGGGTGGTTTGGGGGGGTCATTTTAGGCATATATGATAGACATGGAGTGTCTGGGAATGAATCAAATGTGATCCCTTTTGTCGCGCAACGCAGGGCTTCTTGTCGCGTAGCGGCCGCTCTTCGGTTGTCCCACAAAGCGAAGGCCCTTCCATCCGGTGAGCGCCACTGACAACCGGTCCCTACCCAAAAGTCCTGTGACCTGCAGGTGAAGATTTGCACTCCTTTTTGTTTGAATTTGCCGTGCAGGAACCGGAAGCAACAAATAGTATTCCTCATGGCCAGGTTAGGTTTTTTAACTGTACCTATAGAGAAAAAATCAACTTATAAGCAAAACCAGGCCTAGAAATAGGGATCGCACAGCTCTCCAAATCCTACTCAACTCAGGGCTACTCGAGCCATCGCTGTCTTTTTCCGCGAAAGCCGACCCCACTCGGACGTGGTCCGCCCAGAAGTGCGACATCGTCTGCGCGCTCCGCCCCAACGGCATCAAGGGCACATCAATCCATGTCATGGATATACTGTAGTCTACGTGGATGATCATGGATACAGTAGTATTAAGGATAGATAGTATTAACTGTTAACATCGGTTAATCATGTTTTTCTACAAAACGTCAGAATATAGCTGTAACTCGTTGGAACCCGTCCAGTCCCATGGATTGTTGGGAGATCCCTTCCCAAGACATTGGCCGAACGAAAAGCTGAAAAGTGCCGCCGCTTCGACGGCTTCGCATGGCGCTGGAGTTCGTGTTGGAAGGAAAGAAGTGGAGAGAACCCCCCCAGCTCCAACCTTTGTCACACGGCCTTTTTGAACAGGTCAACATGTAGCCATGCCAGACTCCATACATCCAGGTCACTCCCTCCAGAGTAAGTTCTCCCTAGGCACATACGAGTACTGAACCTCAGGAGGTACGACTGGGCCCTCCTGGCGCCTACATAAATAGTCTCCAATCACCGTACCTGAGAAGGCATGTGGATCCCTAGGGTATAGTCTTAAAACTCAAGAAATGCCTCACCCTTGACATGGGCTGGTGCTTTCAATTGGCATCTGACAAGAACTCCATGTTTTTGCTGCCCTAGGTCAACTTCCGATAGAACGGAACTTTCATTCAATATCATTCAATCTTTTCCTCCCGACTGCCCTTTCCATCGAAACAGTGCTCATACAAGTTGCGGCCCGTCCTCAGAGCCATTTATCAGCAGTTTCAAGCTCCGTGCTGCTGTGTCTAAGCTGCAACTATATACTTCTGAAAACCCTTCCGGAAAAGTCTCGCCCAATGACAGCAGTGAACTCCTAAGCAGCCACGCAGCCAGGCCTCGACTAGATGGGCAAGTGGAGTTTAGCTGGCTCTTCACTTAGCACACTCTGTCATAGTAACCATAATAATCGTATATAATCGCCATGGAAGACTGTTAGTGACTAACATGTACCCTGAAAACCACGTCGGTTGGTAGAGCAAAAACCATCTTCCAGGGGGGCCATTGTCAGCTAGGGTCGACATGTGAGTTGACTGGGGAGTGTAAGAGTACCATGGACATGGAGCGAGTGAAAACCACGGTCTTCGGACGGTCCTCCGAACTCAGAGCCATGCCATCCACGTTGGCATGGCTAATCCCTTCAAGGGGGGGAGTGTATGCCATCAGTCAAGGGGTTGATTTGTTGGGGATTCTAAGCCACTCCGTCGCTTGCCCGATTCGAAGCCAAGTTCGGTCTGTGCATCTGACATTCTGGATTCACATGCTGCCCCTGCCAGCCCAGTCTGACCCAGGTCCAGTCTCCTGTTCCTGCTATTGACCTCCGCGAGAGTCGTGTTTTTTGCATGCGAACTCCAGTTTTCCATGCTCAGCTGATGGCGTAGAGTTGCAGAATTCCAGTCTTCCAAGATCGACATCGAACATCGAACATCTTCCTCCCTGGGGGTCGTCCTCGCTGTGAATCCCAAAGCCTGTGCATGAATTCAGCGCCGGGCCCGCAGGAAAGGCTCGCTCGTGGTAGGTCGATTCCGGAAAAACATTTAGACAAACATGTGGAATACAGATTTAGCCATTCGAAGTAGGTTCCTTTAGGAGTTAGTGTTCAGGAGTCTGTATCTGGAAACATCGGAAACATCCGCCAGAAACATCCAGAAACTGGAGTTTGTTTCAGGTGTGGAGTTTGTTTCAGTTTGTTTCCACCTCCAAAATCAAACTCCAGAAAAGTTACGGAAAGCAATCGGAAAGCATTAAGCCCACATTGACCCCTTCGCAACCACCCCAATTTCAATGTAGGCAAATCTTTGGGAAAACATTAGACTTAAGCTCTCCAACTAACAGGACTTTGACAAAAATAATCAAAAAATGGCTGACCAACCCTCGTCTTCTGCGGCTTGCGGCGCAACATCAAGTTCACTATGATCGTTGGCGATGGACGTGGTCTCCAGGCCACAGAAAGCTCGCATAGGTTAAGCTGAGCTCGCACATTGCTCCAGCTACTCAGGAGGTTTTTCCTCCTGATCGGTACCAGAAATCAATAACATGTCCTCACCGGAAAACAAGCGCCACGCCTGCCTTGCTCGACGTTTCATGATGAAACATGTATATATATTATATATAGTGGATGGAGAGTAGATGGCACAATCCACAGCTTTGGTGGTTACTATGGGACCCCATTTCAAAGACATGTAGCTGTAGAGGGATATCAAACCTCCGAATCCACCATAAGTGCTTCTGATCCTGGAGCTGTTCTCCATGTGGACCTCTCGTTGTTGTGCCACTCAGGCTCCGGTGACGCCCCATGACTCAGGTCGTCAACCCGTCGCGCCGCGCTGCGAGGCGGGCGTCATCACAAGGGAGCGGCGGGGCTCGCCCTGGTGGGCGGGTGCGGGTCGGAGGCGGCGTCCAAGAAGCAACGCCTCAAGAAACTGAAGAGTAAACGAAGCCCATAGGGTCCAGGTACCTCCTGAGGATGTCCTTTGGCCTGTTCGACCCTTCTCTGGAAGTATGAACTCACCTCCAAGACCACCCTAAGGAGGTACCCGGACCCTGTGGGAAGGTGATGTCCTTTTGCAGAGTGGATTTGTTGATGATTAGCTTCATGTTGACATGACTCTTGTTATGTCTCACGGATTCCCCTACTTGCTATAGTTCCTTTCAAGTGGTCTTTGTGGTCCATGATGACAAGTCTGCTATTTGCTCCAGGATTTTAGAGCGTGTCCTTCACCTTGCAAGGACACGCGCTAGATCGAAAGCAGAATGGTGCTGACGCATCCGCTTGGAGGGGCCTAGAAGATGGAAAGTCAAGGAACATCCGAAAAACCAATAGGAAACTGGTCCCGATTTTGGGACTGGTTCATTTTCCATCCATCCGTCTTTCTACCCACTCCAGTCGGACAAATGGAACTCAAGACTCCCCGTTCCGCCCGCCCGGCCTCCGAGCCGGACGCGGAACCTGGGAGTGGCGGAACCAAAGGAAACAGACCTTGGAAGTGCTAAACGTGTGGTGTGAAGTGATTCATGGATCCCAAACATGACACATCTTTATAACGTTTTGGTGGGTGAATTCAGGGTTTGGGCTTTAGTATCCCTAGGGCTCCTGGCCCATCTCCTCAGGTGGAGCGTATCCCCCTCATACCCAACCCAACCACCGAACCGAAACGGAGGTGGGCCAGGAGCCCTTGGGTATGTTGAGTATGGTTGAGTCACGTGCTTAGCGCTTTACCTCGTGTTTTTCCCTGTCGCCCCAGGTGCTCGCCCAGGCGCTCGAAGCTTGGAGCTTTCGCGTCAGCTCCAAGTTCTCGGCCTCCAAGGCTCTCAGTCGGCCCTCCACCTGGCATGAACAAAGACACAATAAGCCCTAATCCATGTAAAGAGAAATATACTAGTGGTGTACTATATGTAATTCCCCTGTACCTATAGAGAGAGAACACTTATTATATAAAAATCAATTACAACTTTACTTCGATTGCCCCCCCTACATACGAGGCAGTTTGGAAGAAGGCAGGGCACATGTTGACAGACTATCCTGACACTCGCTGCTTGGCAGGTGGGGAGCAAGGGAAACCAAAAAGCTCTACATGCCTACATTCAATATTCCATGATTCCAAGGCCCAATGGATGATGATGGTTCAGATTGTTTACCGACAGTTCCAGATAATTCATAGCACAAACCCACATGATATAGACCTGCTGAGCGCTGTCCGCCGCAAAGCGCCACCGTGCAGAGCCTCGATCCGCCCGCACTACACGCCGCTCCGCGTCGTGGTGTGGTGAACACATGTCGTTCCCAGCGACGGTCTTTCATGTGGCTACGGTCCAAGACCACACCCTGAAACATGAAACATAAAACGCTTCAGTGGTCTTCATGTATTGTTTTTCAAAGTTCCAGGTTGCGGATGGATGTGTTGCTTGCGATTCAGCTGGTTCATTTAGATTCTTTGGAACAGCTTCATCAAAGTGAATGCCACAACATGTCACAAATCTCCAGCAACCATGCTTTCTGCCAGGGTCCAAGAGACCACCGGGGACCCCGTTTTCCCACATCTCTTGTGCAGTCACAGTTTTCCTCTCATACGCTCATTGACACAATCATGGAAGTGCGAAGCAACCTGCTAGAGGAAAAAGATCATCCAAGAGGCCATGCCATCCACTTCCCATGATTGTTTCAAGGCGTGCACCATTCCCACAACAACCCGCCGCCAGTTCTTCCAGATTTGAGTCCTTCATGTGGTCCATCTATGAAATTACGATGCCATTAAAGAAGCTGCGCACATGCGTACCTGACCCTGACTGACCTCTATTTTAGACGACCAACCACCCAACACATGGTCTTTTCATGTCTTTTCTATCATTGTCAAATCAGGTCATGTCTGGGTTCTAGGATGTTCTAGGTATACTAAACTATATAGTAGCTTACATCATGCAGCATCGGCGCATTGTGCCACACACATACACACAAGTTACCCAAGACAAATCAAAACAGCATGTCATGCCCCACTGCTGGGCTCGCGGGCACTCCATAAGCTCAGTTAGCTCTTGCAAGCGCTGCTTGAGCTGCTGCCTCAGCACGCACTGAGTGCATACGATGTTGACCTCCCCCCCTGTGGGTGGATTACAAGTCGTGTTCTCAGAGCTCCTCTTCCAGGAAAAGCCGTGGAAAACGAGTCAAGTGCCACCACGAGCCTCAAAACAAGGCTAGTAGCGGTTAGTAGACATGTGCAAGTCTGTCATTTTCCCTTCCATGCAGGCTCTTGAATGAGCTTTGATATTGTAGTTGTTTCCGTGCTTGGGCAGAGAGTCCCGGCCAATCATCCTCCTCCTCCAGGGCTTGGGTGGCCCCTTCTTCGCGCTGATAGAGGCCTGGAAGCAGAAAGTGGAGAGGCCAATGGACAAAGAGTTTTGACAGCTGTATCATTTGATTCTTTAAAATTCTTTCAACATTCGACTGTGAATGAGGAGAATGTAAGGGCATTGCTCCGGGATAGTGAGAACTTCTGGTGGAAGTCGAACAAGAGATCCATGGTGTCTGCAGTTTTCTCGTCGGAAAAACCACCTAACACGACTCGCAAACGGTCCAATGGTGGATGAAGAACAGCCTGTAATTGCAGGGGTTCTGCACCTTTTCAGAGGCGAAGGAGCCAACTCTTCTTCTATCCCTTTGCTGGGTCGAAGCGAACGAAGCAGGACCCGGGTCCTGCGGGCCGGAGGCGAACGACGCGAACGAGGTCACTTTGGGGCTCCTCACCGAGTAGTCGTTGCCAGCGTTCCTCGGGAGGGATGACTCTGCATGAGAAACATCATGAGAGGACACAAATCAAAAAAGAACAAATGGTGAGGTCATGATGTTTGACAAAGCTTTCTGAACAAATTGTTCATCAACAAACCATTGTTCAACTTCATCAGCCATTTCATAGCAACCGAAGGCAACAAACCCTTCTGAACAGATTTAGCGGGTCCTGTGGTCTTGTGTCTTGTAGTTTCATACACTTTAGCTTGAAATCCAGAGGTGTGTTGGCAGGCTCCTCACGATCCCAGAAAGCTACTCACTGTTAGCATATCTATTCCAGGACCTTCCCAGTGACCTCTTCAGGATTGGTAAGTGACCTTTTCAAGGCCTTTTCGTGACCTCATTCTGGGATCTCAAAAGGTCACTGGGAAGGTCCTGGATAGTGTCATTTCATTCACATCTTCGTCCACTTTCAAGAAATCATCTCTTCCCATATCGTCCCCACATCGCACTTCCTCCTGTCGAAGCCACCCCGTCAAGTCCGTCATTGTCCAACGGTTCAACCTCTCCAACCGGCGCAACAAACCATCACCCGTCTACGCGACACATGGGACTGGTATAGGACTGCCGATGAGGCCGGGGGTGGTCTATCGCTCATGAAGTCTCGAAACGTACAGCGCTGCCCGAAAGCCATCCCACACACGGCTGACACGGCTATCGCGAAAACACGGCGCCCGGGCAACTCCCGTGGTCGCTAACCGCCATGGCTCCACGAGTTTCTTGGGCGAATCATTCATTCTATCCCTGGATCCACGTACCGAACCTGAGGTACGGCGAGAAAGGAGACATGTTTATGATGTAGGTTTGCAGGGTCCAAGTATCTTCTGAGAAGGTGGCAGTGGATCCCTGGCTATGAATATAGCCTCCCCACTCCCACCCAGCTCTCTGCGGCCCTCCCACCCCATGCCCAGCGCCCAGCTGAGCGTCCGCGTGGCTCAACGGCCAGTCGATGTGATGTCCGGCCAAGCCCAGCGAGTGCCAATGTCCCACCACGCGCGGCGTCTTGGCACTCGGCGTCGGTGGCGCCACTCGCTGGCACCGGTCGCCTGGACCGGTTGGGATGGGACGGACGGTCCGGCAGCGGGATTGACCTCCTGTTTTGATAGGATCCCTCTCTCTCTCTCTCTAGATCTCTCTAGTATTGTGGGATATTGTGGGTGGATGGTGTGTTCTAGAGATACCAGGGATAAAAAGCTATCGAAGTAATGCCTTTGGATCCAATCACCTGCTCAAGAGCAAAGGAAATGACGTTGCCTGAAACGTTCTGCAACCCGAAAGGACACCTTCAGGATCCCAAAGCGCATGAACAGCGCATGAGTTGTCGGTCTGGCAGCATGCAGAAAAAAAGGCTGGTCCGGCCCCATAAAAGAATGCGCCCATATGTCCCAGTGCATCTAACGGTACGGGCTGAATGGTTGAAACGGTCAGGGCAGAATGGTTGAACGAGCTTTAAGGCTTCGACGAACGATTTGCGCATGACTTTTGCGGATGTCCTGAAGACCTAGAGCCTTCACATCCCATTGCTTTTGAAATGGGCACGAGAAGGGGATTAGATTTACGACTGCAGAAGCCGTGGGTCACATTTGGACAGGATCAAACAACGAGCGTAGCAAACACTGCAACGTGCCATATCGTGTGCGGTGCTCAGTCTCACATCAAAATCCAAGGCTTCAAAACCGAACCGAAACGTGCCGCGCCTTCGGCGCCCTCTCCAGGGCTCCAGGAGTGCCGCGCACCTTGAAAGCGCTCGGTCTCCGGCGGCGGCAGCGGCCCCGCGCCCGCGCGCGCTCGTGCCGGCGCGCGGGGCGCCGAAGCGCTGTGGGAGGCGCTGATGGCTCCAGCACCACCAGCATAGGGTCGCCGGGGCAGGGCGCGGTGGCCGCGGGCGTCCTGGAGGTGAGCTAATTACATGGCACCTAGGAGTGAGGAAGGTGAAATTCATTGGTGAGATCATCGCCATGCAGAATTCAGGAACCGTCAGGATTAGCTATATACTCAGCCAATGGACGGCAATGTAAAAAGGCCTTGGAAACCTGGGAGTTTATCTGGCAGGGGCCACTCACTGAATGTGACTTCCCAGTCCACACACCAGCAGGGAGTCTTGAGCCATTGGGAGACTCTGAGGGAGATCACGTCTGCCTGGCCTCACTACAGGAATTCTGACCCTAAGGGGCTATCAAGAAAGGGGGCTGTGGGATATTGGAGATTGAACATCTCACTGCTTTTCTCATTCTTCTCCATGGCCAAACCTCCTAACACGCACCACGCGCGGCGTGGTATGCTCTTGATGCTCGGTGGTGAGCAGTTGCTCGCGCTCCTCCCGCACCCAGCACTCTTGGACGATCTCCAAGCCTTGGCCCATGAGACCTGGCGAGGGGGGGAGCAAATGCAAATGCACCTCCCAACTTGCGAAAGCCCTTGGTTTGGATAAGGAATGGGCATCGAGCCATCTGCGATTTGAAACATGTTCCAAGACCTAGTCACCAGTCAGCAACAGAAGCAACCTCTAAGAATATGTCAGATTCTTGCAGTCTGACATTAAATGGGGGAGAGAGACAAATAAGCGATTGGAAACCACACAAAGCTTCAGGTCAGTGCTGAAGAAGTTATCCTGCATGACCAAACATCAAACACACATGCCCTCAAGATCCGCCTGTGTGGGCCATTTCTCACCTAAAGAGTGCACTTCTTTCAGCCACTTTGTTCACTTCCTTGAGCCCGTTGTCACACTTTTTTTTTGCAATTCCTGATGGTAAGATGTTGCGACATGACCAAGTAGACCGTGTCGCGTGTCCCTGCACATCTGATGCAACTATGAATATGTAACATGTATGACTATGTCCGTACTATACTATTTAGAGGACATGCAAGTGGCTAAAAAGGATGTCCAAGCAGCGAAATTGCTTTGGACAAATGGTCTTAGTTCCTCATCCCAAGTCCATGACCTCGTTAGAACTTGTTCATTGACTTGCACTTCGGACGGAACCTTGACATGTCAAACGTGACGAGGCTCAAGAGCGTGTCTGTCAGATCCCTCTCGAGGGTGGAAAAGCAACACCTTTTCCAGGCTGTTGGCGGCTTAAGCAGGGACCATCCTGATATCCTGATAGAAACCCATGAAGCTGGCCAGCACACGCAGCCCCCAGAAAACCCCCATGACTGATTTGGCCGGGAACCCTTCGCTACTGGCCAGAGCTGATGGAATGGGGGGGTTGTGGCCACTCAGTAGGGACCCAATCCACCTCCCACGCCTTGCGGAAAAAAAAAGCCGCCCGGCCCTCGCGCCCAGCACTTGACCCGGCTGCCCCAGCTTTACATCGTGGAGCTGTGAGCCCAAGTGGCTAACAAGTGACCCACACGCGTGCGACCCCAAAAAACAAGCCAAGAGGAAGGAAGTTGGGGTGATGATTTTGACTTGGACCATTCGATGTACATCTTTATCAAAACCCAAAGGTCCAGGACCATCCTGATGTCCTGCCAGACCCCCAGACCCCCCCGGCAACGATCATTCGACCTGGTTTCGTACGAACTCACCTCCGTTCGGCCATCCGAAAAGGAGCTACCTGGACCCGGGAAAAGCATGCCCTTCAGATCTGCAATGCATGGACCCTGAAGAACCATGTGAGCACGCTTCAGGGTCCACACACAGCCATTGACAGGGAAACCATGTGCAGAAATGCATGGACCCTGAAAAGATATCTTTTCTGCACTGAAGAACCATGTGAGCACAGAGGGCACAGTGAAGCCACGTCCTGGGCCCCATCACGTTGAAGCTCGGCTGCCTTAGCGGGTCCAGTGCCGCTCAAGAACTGGTGCAGTGCCCCCACATCCATCTGGCACAACCCGGAGAAGTCAACCAAATGCTCACAAGCTTGATTCGAAAGCAGTCCGGCTGGTTGCGTGTAGGACACGTTCTGGTTGCATTTAAAATTGCAGGATCATCCTTTCAGAATCTCATCTTTACAAGATTGTATCATCCAGAAACCAGATTGTATCGATGCTTGGCCAAGCAATGGGCAGACCTTGTTGTTTCTTTGATCCCTATAGGGCTCCTGGCCCACCTTCTCCTGAGGAGATGCTTGGGGTGGGCGGGTGCGTGCTTTATGGGGGGGTCGAATACCACCTTCTCCTCAGAAGATGGGACAGGGGGGTCTGTGCCCACCTTCGCCCGAGGAGATGGGATGGCATTCTCCTTAGCCCTAAGGTTATGAGAATCTTACAGCCACAGACTGGGGGTGGTTTCCATTGCCTGGCTGGCAAAGATAGACTTAACCCTAAGGGATTGCAGGCCAAGCAACAAGGTCTGTCCAGCTTGTATCGCCTGGCGCCGGTCGATCGACTGGGGCCGATCCAGCCTGGAGGGAACGTGTGGCCGCCGCACGAGGACGCGTCCGGCAGTGCCGGAAGTCAACATCTAAAGCCTCAGCCGCACTAAAGTGTTCTAACTGCCCTACTAACTGGATTGAAGCACCTTATGCCCTCCTAGCGTGTGGGATCTAAGTACTTTTAAATGTCTGACCTCTTCGAACATGTCTTCTTCCGAAGCCTCCTAAGCTCAAGACTGACCACCGAGGTTTGGAAGCTGCAATTTGCGAGGCAAGTAGGTTGCAAAGGCAACTTCAATCAATCGATGCTAAGTGTATTCTGATCAAACCAAGCCACTGTGTTCTTGCTTCCATGTAACACAAGAACCTCCCCCCCAAACCCATCCTTCTTTTGAAATTCAATCCCCAGATCGAATGGGAAATTCAGGTCCAGACATGCTGTGTGCTGTTTTATGAGTGTGTTGCCTTGTAAAGCGCTTCAGGGAAACCGGTCCCATACTCGCCATCGCTGGCAGCACCCTGACCCCCCTGACCTCCCCCCCTGACGCGCCTGTGGAGGCCGCACAGGCGCCTTGCGGAAAGATCAGGAACGAGGGGGGTTTAGAGAGTGAGGTCTGGGCATGGGGAAGGACCAGGGGAGGAACCTAGGCACATACTGATACTCCGTATCTTAAGTAATAGATAAATAAACACACCATGCTTTATTGGAAAGCACACACATGAATCCGTAGTATGCTGAAAATACAAGCTCATATGTCATTTCACAGAATAGATTTGCAATGGATTGCACTTCATGTAGAAAAATCACACATCTGATATCACCTGCATTCAGGCCGGAGCTGTGTCCAAGTCAATGCAAGCCTGCACCTGTGCTGTATGTGAAAGAACTAGACTATGCGACTATGCCAGCACACATCCCCCGACAGGTCTCTTCTAAAGGAGCTTGTGCCAGGACCTTGTGACCTTTTGAGATCCCAGTGTCTGAGGTCACTTAGTCATAGTCCCTGAAGAGGTCACAAAGAAAGACTGCAAAGAGATCACTTTGAAAGTCCTGAGTCCTGGTGGATCACCAGGACTGAATGACCCACCAATGTCACCAGGATCTTGAGATCCTCATGGTGGACCAATTCGTGGAGTCCTGGTTGACTCCACTGAGCTCCTCTCCCACCCATGTCACCCTCGAGCTCATCCCATGTCGCGCGTCCCTTCGCCTTGGCCATGGCGAAGGAGGTCCACGTCTCTCGGTCCCTCGCAAAACGGCGAGGAGCAGAAGACGCCAGCGCCGATCACCTCGGATCCCGGGTTGAGACTGCAGCTCATGTAGGCCCATTGGTTATGTTTCACCCCCCTCAAATGAAGAGGTTTTAAGGTTGTACAATTCCAAACGGGAAGTTGTATTTTTGGTTTTAACTAATCGCTACATGCCATTTGTCAGTAGTCCTCCAACTCCCGAATTCAATCGGTGATGCAAGACATTCCACTCAGCTCCCTGCATGCCGCGCGCGGCAACGCAAAGCAGCGCAGCTCAAGAGCCAAATCCGCCCCTTCGGCGGCTCGAGGCTTGAGCCCTTGATCTTCAAAGAAGTATCTCTTGGATTTGCACAAGGAACCGGGAAGAATCAAATGCACAGCTAAAATATGTCAAATTCATTTTTACTTAACAGCCCAAAACTTGGGCCCAAACACGCGACGGAGACTTCCACCACCCAAAGCAAGGCAAACTCCGGCAGCTGTGGCTACCTTATGTGATCTTCCCTGGAGGGGAATCACCTAAAGCAAGCCCTTTTGAAATCATCACAGGCGCGGCTGTGCGGCCAGTGTCACTGGCAAGCTAGCTTTGCAGCGCGCACGTCCGTTCAGGCGGCTGGAAAAGCGGTCCCTCTATTGCACGAGGCGGTCCTTTAAACTTTAGAGGCGTACGTATACTGCGTCTACTTTAATTGGCCATCCAAATGGGCGACCTACAGCATATCAAATCATCCAACTTCAAAAAAAGAAGCTGACTTGTATGGTCAACTTGCACTCCACCCCCACAAAACAATACCTTTATATGCCTACTTCACATATGCCTGGCGTGAAGGAGACCCCACCTCCAGCTGCGTTCGTGAAACGCTCAGTCGTTGCCTTGACCCGTGACCGGATCCTCAGAATTGGGCCACGTGGATCTCCATCTCTGGGGGGTTGGAAGGTGTTGGAACATGTTACATCTCCCTATTAGATCACCCCAAGAGGTCTGGAGCTAGGTCTGGAGCTCTCCAGCTGCTTGAAGGGGGGGTCCCAAAGCCGGGCCATTTCCGGACCCAATTTCAGAAACATACAAGAGCACTCATCCCATCTAACCCTATCCCTGTACCAGCGTCGAGAGTCGAGAAGGTTGTTGGAGGGCGAGGTGTCCGTCACTAAAGCATCAGTCCGTCACTCAAATCCTGCGGTCCAGCAAATCCGGTGGTTTTCTGGGCACCTCTGCTAGCAGGAAACAGCTTCCTCTCAAACACAAGAAGTGAAGAAACTCTTCTTCCAGGAGTCACGGAGCTCGTGGGTGGTGTGGTGTGGCTCGTCCCCTCCGTTGAGTTGGATGTTCTGAACACTCTGAACCTCCATGGATAGCACCCCGACATGTGACTGCTGGTTTACATGTTGGTGCCAGTCTCTTATTTACAACTGTTATTTGCAAGCAGCACACCAGTGACAGTATGGGCATGCGCAAAGTCATGTGACTGTGGACTTCTGACAAGGCGGAGTCAACCCCCACATCTTCCTCAAGCCCATGTAATCTCTCGGAATCTGAACCACTCCATGTAGGCGTACATTGACCTCTTCAACTGTTCAACCATTCCCATTTTATTGAATATAAGGATCCATGATGTAATCTCTGTGTATCATATCACTGGGGCGGTTCCCATTCTCATGTCCGCCTTCCCCACACGGCCCTCCCGTGCGCCCTGGTGGCCCTCCCCTTGGCCCAGCCACGTACAGTCGACCTGGCGTGGCCGAAGAGCGGTGACGACTCGAGCCAAGCGAGCCCTTCTCGGTGCAGATCACGTTGGGCGGTGCGGGAACCGGAGGAAATGCCCCAAGGACTGCCCCAAGGTGACCGGATCCGGCCGGGAAAAAGCAAAGCAAAGTTAAGCAAGAACTTGAAGATAGCAAACTCTCCCAATCCCAATCCCGGACTAGACCATTAGGTCTAAAACATATGGACATGCAGAAAACAGGCCTGTGATGGTCTAGGAGACCTCAAACCAAACAATCGAAGTCTCAGCACTACTACTCCGGACCATGCAACTAGCACCAAGAATTAATATCTCCATGACATCCCCCGTGACCACTCCTACCTGAAGCTTCTGAAGTACCTTCGATACATGGACACGACCCTAATGACATCAGGTATGTTCAGGTAATGATAGACTCCCTCTTTCTTCCAACTCCCAACAGTTCTTCCTTGGTACCCAGTCTCCCAACTGCCCAACCCAACAACTCCAAACCAACCGCCCAAGCTCGCCGCTCCAAGCCCACCGCTCCCCGTCCCAAGAGAACCGCACGGGCCGGGCAAAGCCGGCCTTGATAGGGATCGATGGCCAAGCCTGGAAGGTCGTGAAGGTTGTTTGAAAGCGCCGTGGTTTCCGCAGGTGGTTCGACAGCGAGGTGGACCCATGGAGCGATCCACTGCCACCGTACCTCAGGTATGGTATGACTGGGCCCGACCCGGGCGCCTACATAAATAGTCTCCGTCCTCACCGTACCTGAGAAGGTATGTGGATCCCTAGGGGGAGGAACAGGTGCAAATTTCTGGTGAGGATCCTTTTTGGGGATGACTTGCGAATAAGGCATGGCATGGCATGGCTGGATGCCTGTATTATCGTGCGTTACTATTGTTCGTCGCTTCTGCATGTTTAATGGTACAATAGTTACAGCATACACTTTGTTAATCTGTGTTGGCACGTCTCATCACTCAAAAATGCTAGCAAAGGATAGCAAAGGAGGGTTTTGTCCCCTTGTGCTTCGATCCCCTTTAAGCCCACCCACCAACCACACCTGTTCCCTCGTCGATGTAGCTACCGTCATCCACCACTTCACCTTGCGGCAGGG